TAGGTAGGAAAGAATTTTCCCTGTCTTACCAATAATGAGAGAGGGGACATTTTGTTCTTCATTACACAGGGACCTAGTGACAGCTCGCAACAGAACCCAGTCTCTTGCTGTGACCATCAGCCCATGCTGCCAACTTGTGCTTGGGCTCCTTGGGTGCCTGGATAATGTTTGTATTGACCACCTCAGGTACACAGTGCCTCCCATCATTCGATCCCTAAGGATGGCGGGTATTTGTGCGAAGGCTAATTTGCTTGCATGTTCTATTACCTGCAAATTGGACAGGTGCAATCAATACTCATGATTTCCAAGCTGTCTGGCTGGCTTGGTGACATTAGGTGCCTGGAGGGGACTGCCTGCCCTAAGAGCAGGAGGTTAGATTGAAGGATGATTGGATAGAGAGATTTGAATGTACAGCAAATTATTGCCCCGTTGCATTTAAACCATCAAGCCCTTTTCAATTCCTTTTAAAAGCCACTTGATAGGAATTGGCTCTGAGTATGTGATGGAGACTGTGGAAGCTGTCATCTTGGGGTGAGATCCTGTGGTTCCAGACTTTGAGGGACAGCTAGGCAAAGATCTGTGGATAGAAGAGAACCAGGAGTTTTGACTTTATACCCTCCTGCTTTTGCTGCTAGTCTATGCCACCTCTACAGTAAGCATTTCTCCCTTTACATTTTTTTCAACCTCAAACAGCGACAAGAATGAGCTGTGAACGATGGGAAAAAGTCTTTCCGAGAGTTGTTGAAAGCCCGTGAAGATGACAGCAGATGCCTAGGGAGAGCGCTCGCGAAATAGCCACCGAGCAGGGGAGAGCCGTGATGGATGGAGTCGCCAAGGCAGTGACGAGTCATCGTCTTTCGTGCCCTAGCATGACTCATTAGATGGCTGAGCTTCACCTTGGGGCCAGAAGGTTGTGGAGTCGGATCCTGTGCTAGAGCTGTGGATCCTTAAAGCAAGTCCTTTATGAAGAGGCACGTGATAGACCCAGGGAGATGTTCCAGCCTGTCAGTTGAATTGGGAGCAGGGGGCTCCTGAAAGCCAGGCAGCACTGGAGCACAGACACCGAGATGGGGCTTGTGGAGGAGAGTAGCCAGGATGTGGACCAGCCAGGGCTTCAGACAACAGCAGTAGCAGCTCTGAGTGGGCACGCTGCTGCATCCTAAACAAGCTGCGGCACCTAGCAATGCATTGAGAAGAAGGAATCATCATGGCTGATACGTGTGGAATCGGCTCCCTACCCTGCAGTTTTGCAAGGAAAGCGGGTAGTGGAACCAGGTTCTTTGATCTAGGTCACTGCCTTTTGAATGTGGGTAGCTCAGCACCCTTTGCTTCTCGCTTAAGGTGAGTCTTTTGGATACTGAGGACTGGGGACAAGGTGACTGTAAAGCATCCTGCTGAAACATGCTCCCCGTAGTCCTTCAGATGAAGGATCCCTAGGATGAGGAATCCTTAGCCCTGTTGCTGCACTCTCCCAGGCATGGAGGAAACATCTGTGGGCTCGTGGAGGTCAGAAGAGCCCATTATGATGAGCAGGGTAAAAATCTTTCCTGGCAATACCTGCACTGAGCCTGGAAGTTTCGAGGGCACATGAAAACATCTCTCTTAGAAACAGATGCAGCCCTAACAGGAAGGAGTCCAAGGAAGGGTGTATTTAGCAGGTCCTCAGTGAACTGTATTGGGTTGATTACCCTCAGTGTTACAACTGTGCTTGTTCAGGCCTGGACAGGTGGCAAATTTACATCAGTGTAATCAGCCTTGCATAAGCAAAGTGCCACACTGATAATGCAAAACTTTACCCCAAAAATAAGTTTTCTCAGGCAAGCAAAGAATTACCCCTAGAAGAGTCAGGGCAAAACACTTGGGTGCGAGATGCACCACAAGATGCATGTGTCCACACCCATTCTGGCATAGCTGTTTACTCAAGGCAAACAGGCTAATATTGGCTGCCCAGCAGAGAGGTGCAGTAATAGCTGTCTCCTGCATGCCTAGCCACACATCTGTCCATTCCTGATCTCCATTCGGTGTACAAACCCCATGTGAGTTGGGATCTCATGATGTGTTTTGTAGAGGGATCTTGTGCACTCATTGAATGCCTTGGAAAGTAGGTTTGAGCCTTGGGAACTGTCCCATTTCAGATCCCTGTGTGACGGTTCACGATTGCCCATTGCAATGGTTGATTCCTCCATTCCAGGTGTAGTTTAAACCATCACGGGGCGGTTTCAGACACATAAGCAGTGTCCTTTACACAGAAAGCTGGTGAGAAATCTTGCACAACTGAAGTGGCGAATGGATGGCAGTCCCAAACTAGCAGCAGATTGTTTTAATCCTGGCTGTTCCACTCAAAACATGTGAGGTCTGATTTTTTTTTTTCAGAAGAGCTGAATACCCTAAGTCCACTCCAGATGAGTGGGATGTGCAGGTTCTCAGCACCTCCTGAAAAATCAGACCCAGGCCATTCTTGACCATGTGAATGGAAGTCAGTTCCTGAGGGTTGAGCAAGAAATTCAGGATACAGCTGAGGACAGACCCAGGTCTCAAGACTCCTGACTTTTAACTCGGTCCATGAGACTGGAGTCAACACCTTTGAGACCTTTCAAGGTTGGCCAGCTAGAAACACACTTCTAGTGCTGTGTCTTGTTGGAGAAGTCGGCTAACGCCCCCCCCCCCCCCCCCTC